TCCTACTTCCTGGATCAAGAAAAGTCAACAATTACAGTGACTGGTGGAGATGTTGGTGGTAGTAGCAAATACTGAGGTTTGATTCCCTTCTTCCTGCACTAGATCAAGAACTGACACTGTGTTTCTTGCAGCAGCAAATTCTTCTTCCAGACCATGCTAAACGAAGACCATACTACCCGGAGACCCCCCTCGTCCCAGGACCTGATCATTCCGAGAGAGTCCCACCCCAGGAACGTTCTTCACCGACGTTCTCACCTGCTACCCGTGAAGGTCCGGGTTAGATATGGTCTTCAGCAAGCCATGCTTGTAAGAGGCAACTAACTGGATCGGGTGGTCAGGCTCGCTGACTTTGCTGACACATGTCATCGTATCTCTTGTGAAGCTTGTGAAGTTGATCGCTGGATTGCCTGGTCCAGCCTCGATTATTTACAGACCGCCGCCATTGAGCTGGAATATTGTTGAGTGTGGCGTTGAACAATAAACAAACAAACCACAGAAAAAATCTGCTTCCTAACGGTATAGTATGAGGACGCTGTTCCACCCTGCCTGTTCTCCCCTGTGGCAACGTTTCACAAAGTGTACTACGTGCATCGTGCCAAGGGCCTCGCAGATATATTCCTTGGTCGTACTGCAAACGGATTTGCGGTTTGCACGCCTCAATACATACCGTTAGAATCTGGGAATTAATTATTTAGTTCATGTATCAAGTACTTAAAGTTAATAGAGAGACACCCATGCTTTTATTCTTTGACGAGCAGTATGCCAGTATTATGTAAATGACATCTGTTGAGAGACTACATCTTCCATTTAAAAATGTGAGTATATCTCCATGCCGAGTTCAGTATCCAATGTCTTGTATGTGACAGTGTGTCTTGAGGGAATTACCTCTTGAGTGAACGAAGGGAAATATCAGCATCAATGTTCCGGAACTTTTGGTACCCAATATATAAACAATAAATGGGATGGGAAGGTTCCTATAGAATGAAACGATTCTTAGTAAGGCTTTTGTGCCGATGGCCTGGAAGCGCAGCCTTATCACAGATAATCTTTGACACGAACTAAAATTACAGTACACAATAGAAAAAGATTAAAGTAAAAACATTAATGCTTGTTTGTTTGTTGTTTAACGCCGTACTTAGCAATACATCCAGCTATACGCCAGCGGTCTGTAAATAATCGAGTCTAGATCAGACAACCCAGTGATTAACAACATTAGCATCGATCTACGCAATAAAGATGCGATGACATGTGACAACCAAGTCGGAAAGCTGACCACCCGATACCGTCGATTATACGACAAGCATGGGTATATTGAAGACAAATTCTAACCCAGATCTTCATGGGTCTATTGAATTACTATCTAATACTAGTTGCCCCATAGCTCTTGAAATGGATAGGGACAATACATACATGGATTTCACTTTTGAGACGTGTGATGAGGCGGACATGCCCACTTCCGGATGCTGGTAGCTATTCAGAAGAAATCAGGACAGACCGCAACTTTTCTACTAGTTCATTTGATGAATATAATGTCCAGTCACTGTGCTCATTAATGTACATACAAAAATATTTTAAAATATATTCTGAATTACGTCTGCTGGGAACATAAAGATAATGCTACGTAGAAAGAAAGAAAAAAAAACTTAGGTTAACTTCAATTCCATGCAGGTCCTATTTATGTAACCACGTCTCTCTTATCTACCAGCCATACAAAGTTTGAGATAACATGGAATGAAGTACATGTTTCCAAACGTCCTGGTACAGGTGCCCGTTTTCAGATAAGCAATAGTCTTGAGAATTCTTTGTACACATTTGGTGATTCAGTTTTGGGTGATCCATACAATTCTTCCTAAGAGTGCGATTTGCAAGAACACGTGTGTTGGTCTTTAAATGATACACGTGCTTTACCTCAAAACTAAACAAAATTAAAACCCACACCCACACTGCATCCAAATCCACATCCCAAACCAGCCCGACCCCACCCACGCATACACAACCAACCCCGATCATATTGCACATCCAACACACCCCACGGACACTACATAACCTACCATATCCTTTTCCACATCCACTGCACCTCCTAACACAAACCCACCCATAACCAAACCCACACCCCCTACACAGTCAAATATAGTACACCAACGCTGGAGAACAAGCAGTTTCAATTTTCTTACGAAATATACCCATTTAAGCATTAAGGCAAAATCTCAGGGAATACCTATATGAATCGATCACTAAAGTCAGATTCTGACACCGGGTAGACAAAGTAGACATGTCCTGCCGTGCTGGTATACCATGTTATAACCATGTGATCTTCAACATACTGCAAACACTGGGTACTTCTGCTTGGACTCCCAAAATGCTCTGTGTGTGTAGATGCACCTCCAGCGTCACAGCCACAATGATGCTCTGTTCGACTGACCCCGTGGGAGCAACGTTCCATTGTTGACACAGGGGTGTTTGCAAAGAGGCTAACATGTCCCGCCGAACAGGTATAACACCCTATAGACATGTGATCTTCAACAGTGTTTCATACGACAAACACTGGGTACTTCTGCTCTGACTCCCCAAAGGCATTTTGTATGTAGATGCCCCTCTCAGCTTCACAGCCACAAAGATGTACTGTTTGACTGACCCCTTGGGACCAAAGTCGCATTGTTAATTATTGCAAAGGCCTTCGCTATTCCTTTTGACTGCACACGTACCCAATCACTGGTGAACTGAAGGGAATACATTTATGGTCAGGTAAACAAGTACAACATGCATAGACTACATACAAAAATGCTTCTCAGGCACATTTATGTTCTACCCACCTCGCTGTTTCTTGCAGATTTTCCAGATGATATGTTGATCAGGTATTAAAAGTCGAGTTTCACTTAGTGAGAAGCGTTGATTTTCAAAATATTTTCTGCCCAATTCCGAGCGAAACAGTGAGCACTCGACGGACGGTAGGACATAAAAATATATTTTGAAACAAAATTAGCATAGAGAGGAACCCCAACACATGGACACTGTGACATTGAATACGGCTCATGATACATTGTCAGTTCTTTAGCATTATTTCATGGATAACGGAGTGAGCTTCATGTGAATGTTTACTGTAAATAGAAACATATCATCTAGGAGATATATTCATTTGTAACCGACGGCGTTAGCCTGAGGTTTCAAATGAACTATTCCCGTGCTTCAAATACTCAATAACACCCGGCCAACACGTGATGTTTATCGACATTGTAAAGACAAAAGTAAACCAAAAGGCCCACATGGGTTTTACTGTCTGCTCTCATTGACATCGAGTACGGGTACAGCAGTGAAGTGTCATCAGCTGGCCGTTTCAGCTGGTTCCCATGGTAGCATCTGGGACTGCTCATTTGTGACGTCATTCCGACTTTTCGTCACAATATGAATGACGTCACCACTGTTGACGCAACAATACAATGGTGTAGGCGATATTTGTACGTGTCAATACGCAGTGAATAGTCTTGCAGTTTCCGGTTTTTCAACTAATCAGATTAAAGAACACGGTGACTTTTGGTTTACAATTAGGATTTAAAGTGACGTACCAATATCCGGAAACATCACATTTTGTAGCATAATACAGATATTCTTGTTGCACGTTGTTATTTGATCATACCATTTTTGAAGGGTATATTATTTTTAATATCGGAATAAATACAACCCGGATAGATTGTGTAGTTCTTGTAAACACATGTCTTTCAAACCCTTAGAGTAGCGTGATTGATCTTCTTAGAATAAAAAGAACATGTATTGCAAGTATAATGTAATTTCAATTTTATGATGAAATGTAAATATATTTATCAAAAACAAAACAATTTTTTTAAAGGACACGTATGTATGAAGGTCACGCGCTCATGGGTTTGTAAGTCACAGATTGGCTAAAGTCAGTATTGGAAATCAACCAATCTGACACATGCAGCCACCTTAGCATGCGGCGTGATGAAGTGCTGGAGCTCCCATACTTCCGGAAACACCGGAAGTCACTGCCGTCGAATGAGAGATTCCACTTTCTGTATCAGGCAGGATTCGTAATTCGTTTAGGCTTAACAGTATTATCCCGTCCAACGTTTATTCCATAAGGCTATATTTTCCAATTGACAGGTTTTCCACCTATAATGCATACCAATGCTGTGAAGTTACCGTACACGAAATTCATACGAGTGCATTTTCATATGAAATATGGCGACGAAGTTTTATTGAATTTTCATCTACTCGTTTTCATATATTAATTTGGTTCCAAAGGGTGACGAGGATGAGATTTTATGTTTTTGTTTCCGTTGGTTAACAGAATTAACTAGTGTATTGGGTGCGCGATTTAAAGCTTACCAGCTGTAGTTGCAAATAATAATTATGTCATCTGATTGGGACCTCATGACAACAAGGACATCAAAATGGTCTGCATACCTGAAGTTCTTCCGGTTTTATTAATTTGGATACTTTTGTATTAGAGGTAACTGACCGATACATAAATATAGGTGTCACCTCAAGCTATTGTCAACTCTGGAACATCACTGGGTGGTGTGGTGGCCTATTGGTAATAGCCTCAGTTCGTCTCGCCGAAAATTCGGGTTCGATTCCCACATAGTTATAATTAGTGATACCCATATGTAGTGTTTCCAGTCATGTTATTGTTGGAATATTGATAAACGGGGTGACGGCGTATTACCATAGTCAAGGGATAACGTGATTGGCTCGTAAGGACCAAGACCGGGTTCGTATCCCCATATGGGTGAAACCCATTTATGGCGCCTCCTACCCTAAAATAACTATACTTGCTAGATGGAAAAAATGTAATGATGACAGAAACAGCGAGATAGGTAGAAAGATACATAGAGCTGATACGTTAATTGCAAAATCAGCATCACCCATCGATAATGCATCGATCTGATCGTATTACAAATATCGATTTGTATACCGCAGGGATGGTTAAGTAGAGTAAGCGGTAGCAGGGGTAGTGTACTACTGGCTGTCGACAGTGATGACTCTGCAAGTCGACCGGCAGTAACAACACTGGCAACTGCGCGGGATTAAGTGAACCACAACATCGTTGCAATGAGTTCTTTGGAGATTGTGTTAAAGATATAAACATGCAGGGGAAACCTTTACTGGAGTGACACCACAGCTGGGGTAAGTTCACTGACTCTTTATTAAAAGCACAAGTTCATGGGAAGAGCGAATTTCTCCCTTTTCAAAATATGCCTTAAGACATCGATGTTCCACTTGACCGTTGAATAATTTCTTTGTACGTTAGATTCACAATTTTAACAGAAAAAGACTTATGAATCATAAAATTAAGCCCAGTTTATGGCATGTAGGGACTTTTAAAGGTGAAGATAAAAAATATTTTGACTAACATTCGATGCATATCGCTGTAGGGACTCGGATAATGGGATTAATAGAAGCTGCTCCACCAAGCTTAAACCTTCGGAAACTTCATACCCACCGGCCATTTGACAATTTGATTATTTTTCCAGTAATATAGTATTACTGTTTCACACATAAATGCCAATGGGTTGGATTATTAAATGTATAATTAGAAGTGATGAAAACCATCGTAAAATTCTATTAAAAAGAACAGGTAGTTTACAGACTCTAACATTACACAGGGGGGTGCCATCGATCTTGTGCGCTTTATTGATTGTTCTGATAAATATCTCATCCACCCAGTTAACAATGAAGTGACTAGAACCGAACAACCAGGATGCAATCGCTGAGACAAATCGTTACTTGTCTTGTCGTTAATATTTCATGATGGTTTGGATCAAGGAAGTCCTCTGCAACTGGATCGGCGGGTTTTATTAGTGTTGTCAGTCTCTGGGCAGAATCCGCAGTGGGCACATGCAACAAATCATGCATGCTGCTACTGCCGGTGTTGTTTTGAACATGGACGCGCGCTGAACGAGGCTTATTTTGTAATTACTAGAAGCATTTTTTGTGGAAGGTAAATTGTTGTACGAGGTTTGCTTGGTGGGTAGGGGTTGGTGAATGAGGTTTGCTTGTTTGGTTGATGGTTGGTGTACGAGATTTGCTTGGTTGGTTGAGGATTGGTGAATGAGGTTTGCTTGGTGGGTGGAGGGTTGGTGTACCAGGCTTGCTTGGTAGGTGGAGGGATGATGAACGAGGTTTGCTTGGTGGGTCGAGTGTTGGTGAATATGGCTTGCTTGGTGGGTGGAGGGTTGGTGCACGATGTTTGCTTGGCTGGTTGAGAGTTGGTGTACGAGGTTTGCTTGGTGGGTGGAGAGTTGGTGCACGATGTTTGCTTGGCTGGTTGAGAGTTGGTGTACGAGGCTTGCTTGGTGGGTCGAGTGTTGGTGAATATGGCTTGCTTGGTGGGTGGAGGGTTGGTGAACGAGGCTTGCTTGGTGGGTTGAGGGTAGGTGAACAAGGCTTGCTTGGTTGGTTGAGGGTTGGTGAACGAGGCTTGCTTGGTGGGTGGAGGGTTGGTGAACGAGGCTTGCTTGGTGGGTTGGGGGTAGGTGAACAAGGCTTGCTTGGTGGGTGGAGGGTTGGTGAACGAGGCTTGCTTAGTGGGTGGCGGGTTACTGAACGAGGCTTGCGTGGTGAGTGGAGGGTTGGTGAATATGGCTTGCTTGGTGGGTGGAGGGTTGGTGAACGAGGCTTGCTTGGTGGGTTGAGGGTAGGTGAACAAGGCTTGCTTGGTGGGTGGGGGGATGGTGTACGAGGCTTGCTTGGTGGGTGGAGGGTTACTGAACGAGGCTTGCTTGGTGGGTGAAGGGTTGGTGACGAGGCTTGCTTGGTGGGTGGAGGGTTGGTGAATATGGCTTGCTTGGTGGGTGGAGGGTTGGTGAACAAGGCTTGCTTGGTGGGCGGAGGGTTACTGAACGAGGCTTGCTGGGTGGGTGGAGGGTTGGTGTACGAGGATTGCTTGGTGGGTGGAGGGTTGGTGAACAAAACTTGGTGGGTGGGGTTAGGAATATGGCTTGCTGGGTGGGTGGAGGGATGATGAAAATGGCTTGCTTGGTGGGTGGAGGGTTGGTGTACGAGGATTGCTTGGTGGGTGGAGGGTTGGTGAAATATGGCTTGCTTGGTGGGTGGAGGGTTGGTGAATATGGCTTGCTTGGTGGGTGGAGGGTTGGTGAACCAGGCTTGCTTGGTGGGTGGAGGGTTGGTGAACGAGGCTTGCTTGGTGGGTGGAGGGTTGGTGAATATGGCTTGCTTGGTGGGTGGAGGGTTGGTGAATATGGCTTGCTTGGTGGGTGGAGGGTTGGTGAATATGGCTTGCTTGGTGGGTGGAGTGTTGGTGAATATGGCTTGCTTGGTGGGTGGAGGGTTGGTGTACGAGGATTGCTTAGTGGGTGGAGGGTTGGTGAATATGGCTTGCTTGGTGGGTGGAGGGTTGCTGAACGAGGCTTGCTTGGTAGGTGGAGGGTTGGTGAACGAGGCTTGCTTAGTGGGTGGAGGGTTGGTGAATATGGCTTGCTTGGTGGGTGGAGTGTTGGTGAATATGGCTTGCTTGGTGGGTGGAGGGTTGGTGTACGAGGCTTGCTTGGTGGGTGGAGGGTTGAGTGAATATGGCTTGCTTGGTGGGTGGAGGTTGGTGAATATGGCTTGCTTGGTGGGTGGAGGGTTGGTGTACGAGGATTGCTTGGTGGGTGGAGGGTTGGTGAACAAGAGCTTGCTTGGTGGAGTGGAGGTTGGTGAACGAGGCTTGCTTGGTGGGTGGAGGGTTGGTGAATAGGCTTGCTTGGTGGGTGGAGGGTTGGTGAATATGGCTTGCTTGGTGGGTGGAGGGTTGGTGAATATGGCTTGCTTGGTGGGTGGAGGGTTGGTGAATATGGCTTGCTTGGTGGGTGGAGGGTTGGTGAACGAGGCTTGCTTGGTGGGTGGAGGGTTGGTGAATATGGCTTGCTTGGTGGGTGGAGGGTTGGTGAATATGGCTTGCTTGGTGGGTGGAGGGTTGGTGAATATGGCTTGCTTGGTGGGTGGAGGGTTGGTGAATATGGCTTGCTTGGTGGGTGGAGGGTTGGTGAAAAAGGCTTGCTTGGTGGGTGGAGGGTTGGTGAATATGGCTTGCTTGGTGGGTGGAGGGTTGGTGTACGAGAGTTTGCTTGGTGGGTGGAGGGTTGGTGTGAATATAGCTTGCTTGGTGGGTGGAGGGTTGGTGTACGAGGATTGCTTGGTGGGTGGAGGGTTGGTGTACGAGGTTTGCTTGGTGGGTGGAGGGTTGGTGAATATGGCTTGCTTGGTGTGTGGAGGGTTGGTGAATACAGCTTGCTTGGTGGGTGGAGGGTTGGTGTACGAGGTTTGCTTGGTGGGTGGAGGGTTGTCGAATATGGCTTGCTTGGTGGGTGGAGGGTTGGTATACGAGGTTTGCTTGGTGGTGGAGGGTTGTCGAATATGGCTTGCTTGGTGGGTGGAGGGTTGGTGTACCAGGCTTGCTTGGTGGGTGGAGGGTTGGTGAACGAGGCTTGCTTGGTGGGTGGAGGGTTGGTGAATATGGCTTGCTTGGTGGGTTGAGGGTTACTGAACCAGGCTTGCTTAGTGGGTGGAGGGTTACTGAACGAGGCTTGCTTAGTGGGTGGAGGGTTACTGAACGATGCTTGCTTGGTGGGTGGAGAGTTGGTGAATATGGCTTGTTTGGTGGGTGGAGGGTTGGTGAATATGGCTTGCTTGGTGGGTGGAGGGTTGGTGAATATGGCTTGCTTGGTGGGTGGAGGGTTGGTGAACATGACTGGCTTAGTGGGTGGAGGTTTGGTGAAAAAGGCTTGCTTGGTGGGTGGAGGGTTGGTGAATATGACTTGCTTGGTGGGTGGAGGGTTGGTGAATATGGCTTGCTTGGTGGGTGGAGGGTTGGTGTACGAGGTTTGCTTGGTGGGTGGAGGGTTGGTGTACGAGGTTTGCTTGGTGGGTGGATTGTTGGTGTACGAGGATTGCTTGGTGGGTGGAGGGTTGGTGTACGAGGATTGCTTGGTGGGTGGAGGGTTGGTGAATATGGCTTGCTTGGTGGGTGGAGGGTTGGTGTACGAGGCTTGCTTGGTGGGTGGAGGGTTGGTGAATACGTGGCTTGCTTGGTGGGTGGAGGGTTGGTGTACGAGGCTTGCTTGGTGGGTGGAGGGTTGGTGTACGAGGATTGCTTGGTGGGTGGAGGGTTGGTGTACGAGGATTGCTTGGTGGGTGGAGAGGTTGGTGTACGAGAGCTTGCTTGGTGGGTGGAGGGTTGGTGTACAAGAGCTTGCTTGGTGGGTGGAGGGTTGGTGTACGAGGCTTGCTTGGTGGGTGGAGGGTTGGTGTACGAGGTTTGCTTGGTGGGTGGAGGGTTGGTGTACAGGAGGATTGCTTGGTGGGTGGAGGGTTGGTGTACTTGGAGGATTGCTTGGTGGGTGGAGAGTTGGTGTACGAGGTTTGCTTGGTGGGTGGAGGGTTGGTGTACGAGGATTGCTTGGTGGGTGGAGGGTTGGTGTACGAGGATTGCTTGGTGGGTGGAGGGTTGGTGTACGAGGATTGCTTGGTGGGTGGAGGGTTGGTGTACGAGGATTGCTTGGTGGGTGGAGGGTTGGTGTACGAGGATTGCTTGGTGGGTGGAGGGTTGGTGTACGAGGATTGCTTGGTGGGTGGAGGGTTGGTGTACGAGGATTGCTTGGTGGGTGGAGGATTGGTGTACGAGGTTTGCTTGGTGGGTGGAGGGTTGGTATACGAGGTTTGCTTGGTGGGTGGAGGTTTGGTGTACGAGGATTGCTTGGTGGGTGGAGGGTTGGTGAATATGGCTTGCTTGGTGGGTGGAGGGTTGGTGAATATGGCTTGCTTGGTGGGTGGAGGGTTGGTGTACGAGGTTTGCTTGGTGGGTGGAGGGTTGGTGAATATGGCTTGCTTGGTGGGTGGAGGGTTGGTGAACGAGGTTTGCTTGGTGGGTGGAGGGTTGGTGTACGAGGCTTGCTTGGTGGGTGGAGGGTTGGTGTACGAGGATTGCTTGGTGGGTGGAGGGTTGGTGTACGAGGATTGCTTGGTGGGTGGAGGGTTGGTGAATAGGCTTGCTTGGTGGGTGGAGGGTTGGTGTACGAGGATTGCTTGGTGGGTGGAGGGTTGGTGCACGAGGATTGCTTGCTTGGTGGGTGGAGGGTTGGTGTACGAGGATTGCTTGGTGGGTGGAGGGTTGGTGTACGAGGATTGCTTGGTGGGTGGAGGGTTGGTGTACGAGGCTTGCCTGGTGGGTGGAGGGTTGGTGAATATGGCTTGCTTGGTGGGTGGAGGGTTGGTGTACGAGGATTGCTTGGTGGGTGGAGGGTTGGTGTACGAGGATTGCCTGGTGGGTGGAGGGTTGGTGAATATGGCTTGCTTGGTGGGTGGAGGGTTGGTGTACGAGGCTTGCTTGGTGGGTGGAGGGTTGGTGTACGAGGCTTGCTTGGTGGGTGGAGGGTTGGTGTACGAGGATTGCTTGGTGGGTGGAGGGTTGGTGCACGAGGATTGCTTGGTGAGTGGAGGGTTGGTGGACCAGGCTTGTTTGGTGGGTGGAGGGTTGGTGTACGAGGATTGCTTGGTGGGTGGAGGGTTGGTGTACGAGGTTTGCTTGGTGGGTGGAGGGTTTCGTGTACGAGGTTTGCTTGGTGGGTGGAGGGTTGGTGAACGAGGTTTGCTTGGTGAGGGATGGGATGTGTTTGGGGGCCTGCATTTATTTTCTATCTAGGTTTGCCAGCACCTGTACTTGATTGTTTCAAGGGGCATGGGATATTTTTGTTGCAGATTACCCAGACACACAATGATGCAGCTGTTGGTGTGTGTACTCTCTACATTAGTGGCCACAGGTAAGCAAGTTAAGTCTGAAAGGAAACTGGTGAATATGCCAATGAGGTGCTTGCGCGTCTGAGTGTGCGTGTGCGTGTGAGTTTGTGTTTGCATGTGGCATGTGGTAGATTGTTTTCATACGTCGTTAATTTAGAAAACTAAATGATTAGGCTGCCTTTAGCAACAATATCACAACAAGGAGCACCTATATTGGGTTTCACCTATTGTACCAATGGAATGAAATCTTGGCCGTCGACTTGACATGAGAACGCTTTATACACCTCTGTTAACGAACCGGAAAATACATATTTGTGATAGTATGTCGAAAGATAGAACAGAAATAGTTTGACTGGAACCAAAGTCCTAAATACGCACGATTGATCATGTTTCCCTTTCTGTCCGCCGACAGCTGTGGGCAAGTTTAACTGTCGTCGGGACGAGAGCATGTGTCTCAATGACTCCAACTGCAACGATGACGACGGTATCTGTCAGTGCTCTGCACTCTACAGCGGAGTCGACTGCAGCATCGTGGAAGGTAAGATATACATAACTGGCATTCAAAACTGGAAAACTCGTATTTTCACATTTTTAGGTTGGGCAATGTTTCAACTTTAGTTTCACTTGGGAGAAAAACCTAAAGTTATGCATGTCTCAGACGTTTACCAAACGTGAAAAGAATGCGCACGGTTTAGCTGCTGACAAATGTACTCTTACAGACAAAAACTTGTATGCTATGGGTTTGTTCATACATTGTGATTTGTTAACGTAGACACATGAATATGTTGATCTTGTTACATGGATATGTATACACATCATGATTAATTACGCACAACCGGGTTTTCGAATATATGCTTCCTTGAAAAAAGACTGAGATGTATAGTAGTAAATTGACAAACAATTCGACTGACACTACCTTCACACTGTAGCCACCCACACCCATTTCTTGACCTTTTGTGAAGAAATCTAAAAACATTCAACCGACGCTGATAAGTATCAGCCCGACGCTGACGCAATGAATTGGTCTGTTTATTTCTATGCAGTGAAAAACATTAAAGCCAATCTTGAAATCAAGACTGTCTCTGCTGTCGGTTTTTGGAGTATCGATCCCTCTCAAGGATAAGACCCGTGAAGATTCGGGGTAGAATTGGTCTTCGACCTATGCCTGGCGTAGGAGGCGACTAACGGGATCGGGTGGTCAGGCTCGCTGACTTGGTTGACACATGTCATCGGTTCCCAATTGCCAAGATTGATGCTCGTGCTGTTGATCACTGGATTGTGTAGTCCAGACTCGATTATTTACAGACCGCCGCCATATAGCTGGAATATTGCTGAATGCGGTGTTAAACAACAAACAAACAAGGATGACATTGGCGAAGCAACTCTCATGATTAGACGAAGGATTTTCAACATTGGGATCTTCCAACATTTTTATCAAGTGTCTGGGTCAGATCTTTCAGCTTTGAAGAAGCTTTGTTCCATCCAGACCTCTTCGAAACAGTCTCAGCATCTATTTATTGTACAAGTGAATCTAGTTAATTATGGACAGAGAAGCTTCTTTGAAGCATCAGTTCAGTGGGACAATCTTTCCCTTGAATTCCGTACTTCCACAACCTATTCCACCTTTAGAACTGCTCTCAAGACCAATCTCTTCCATCAAGCTTTCAACTATACCTTTCTCCCATGGCTGCGCTTTGAGTATGTTATTGAACATTGACAAGCGAAGCTCAAATTGACCTCGGGGGTCTTACCTGACGGCCAAGGTAATATCAAAGGTGTTCAGTTGGATTTAGATCAGGATTATGTTATTATGTTTAGCAACTGGATTTGAATAAGACTCATTGATTTCCAGCTGAAAAAGAACAAAGTCTGTGCTCATCCGGTCCTTGTCTTAATGGCGCCACGTGCAGCTCAGACTCGTCAACATACAAGTGCCACTGTACGGATAATTACTTTGGAACAAATTGCGGAACTTTGAGATGTAAGTTCAGTATAAGTGGGAGGAAGTAATGTTTGTTTGTCACGGGGGTCAGTGAGGGTTGACTTATTAACCTGGAGAGGTTCGTAATTCTTTGAATCTCCAAAAACTATTAACTGTGAGTAAGATTTAACGCCGCTTTGTGCAGTATTGTAGTTACATCATACCGAGCTCTGTGCAGTATTGTAGTTACATCATACCGAGCTCTGTGCAGTATTGTAGTTACATCATACCGAGCTCTGTGCAGTATTGTAGAGCTCTGTGCAGTATTGTAGTTACATCATACCGAGCTCTGTGCAGTATTGTAGTTACATCATACCGAGCTCTGTGCAGTATTGTAGTTACATCATACCGAGCTCTGCAGATTATTGTAGCAATATTGCAGTTAATCACAGCGCGCTCTGTGCAGTATTAAACATATGTAGTTAAATCACGCGCTCTGTGCATTATTATAGTTAAATCATATCAGGCTTTGTGCAGTATTGTAGTTATATCACAGCGAGCTCTGTGGAGTATTGCAGTTAATCACAGCGCACTCTGTGCAGTATTAAACATATGTAGTTAAATCACTGCCCGCTCTGTGCATTATTATAGTTAAATCATATCAGGCCTTGTGCAGTATTGTAGTTATATCACAGCGTGCCCTATTGATGTCCTTGGAAAGCCCGAAGTAATGCAGGCCTCGGATATTTGGCAGTTTTGTGAAACCACGAGCCTATGTATATTGATGTGAAACGTAGTAACATGATCGAACCTTGGATTCGAACCCACAGTCATTGGTTTCTGTGTGCCCAAGGGACGCACTTCGAAAATCTGTATCACCCATGCCCCTCTACTGATGTAGGTTCGAATCTCTGTTTACAGACAGCATCATCTGCGTTTCGACACCAACGCCTCGGATGACGCTCAGGATAACGCCGCAAGTCCCAAGTTTTAATGGCACAATCTTCGTTGAAGGGAAGGTCAAAACTACAGCATGTCACATGACCTTAGTATCTGGCACGACCCAGACGTACGAGCTGACCCTCACTCACATTCACAGCACGTGCGGGAACGCTGTCCACAACGCCAGTGTGAGTAATGTTCAAAGCATCTTCTGCAGTTTATGTATTGCTGGTTGATGGATTTAAAAATATTCTCGACGTTGAAGTGCACTGTTTAAAGTGTCGGTGTCCACAAGGCAGGTGAGACTTACGTTCAAAGCTTCTTGTCCAGTTAAGATGATAGCTGAATGATGTATAATAGACCCCAAGTAGCTTTGACGTCCAAGTGCACTGTTGACAGTGTCGCAGTCCACAACGCAGGTGCGAGTTATGTTCACAGCATCTTGCGCAGTTAGGATGATAGCTGAATGATTTATAAAAGACCCACGTAGCCTTGACGTTCAGTGGTACTGTTGATAGTGTTGGTTCGTGCTCATCTGACCCTGATTCGAATATTAACAGTCATGACCAATGAAGGACACAGTCAGTCACACACAAGATGTACCATCACGTATCGCCCATTGAATACACCTCTGCTGATTGACCACAGTTGTATCAGCTTTATCAACCTTACCGAAGTAGCCACTGCATTCCACGTTAAAAAGCCAAAAGAACATCCGATGAGATGCTTGATGGGCATTTGGAAGTTGGAAGGTAACATAACAACGTATGGTATGGATTTACAACTTCTTAAAATTTACAACACGACGTTTCTGGGCTACTTCTTGCCCCTTCATCAGGTGAATGTGTTGTAAATATTAAAGACGTCGTAAATCTATACCATACGTTGTTATGTTACAATACAACATCCTATATTAATCCGCAAGCCAATAGCTTCTGTGCCAAATTTGAGATAGGCTCTGACACCATTGCAAACGGTTTCTGTGCTGAATTTCAGAACAGTTGGCTTGTCAACAGTTTCTGCAGGGAATGGCGTTAAGATTTTCTAAATTTTTTTCAGACCGACTCCAACACTAGGAAGTTTTACGTTTTGTTTGCCAGCAACAGCATCGTGTTGACGTCCGACGAGGTGGTGACTGCTATCTGCGACGACACCCACAGCACAGCAGTCACCTTCCAACTCAGCAACATCGACATTGACGGGTACAGCACAGATTTAAGAATACGAGTGTGCTACTGATTAGATGCCTCACACTGTAAGTGTGGGTGTGAATCCTAGATGGGACTGAGCTCCAAACGGACAAGAATGTGTACGTTACTGAGAAATTGAATTACCACTTGTAACACCTCAGCGCTGTTGAAACAACATGAGGCGTTAAGGCGTACACAGAATGGGTGTTTATATTCTTGCTGTACAACCGTGAGACAGGGCGAACAGTGAGTGAGTGAGTTTTAGTTTTACGCCGCTTTCAGCAATATTCCAGCAATATCACGGCGGGGGAGAGCAGAAATGGGCTTCACATGTTGTGCCCATGTGGGGAACCGAACCCGGGTCTTCAGCGAGCAGAGTGAACACCTAAATCACTTAGCTATCCCATCGCCCCGTTAGGGCGAACAGTTTACACACAGTTTACAGAGTCCGACAGGGAAGGCCGGCGAAGTCAGACTGACACTTGGGCAGTATATGGCTGAATTGGCTGGTCAGTGTCCGCCCCTCCTTGTCCCTTGCCTTCTGCTTGTCTGTCCGCACTCTTCCACCTGTCTGCCGGCTTCCCTTGTCTGCTTTTAAAGGCAGCTCAAGGACTAACAATCTGCTTAGGTCGGCAATCCTTAATGACATAATCTGCTCACCTGGTAATATGTTGCCGAGGTCGCCAAGTGTACACGACAATCAGTGTTATTCTGTAAAACATGTGTAACTTGTGTGAGTTCTTAACCACTGACATATTGTCTGCTTCAACGTCCTAGTATCTTGAGTCCTGTCGGGGTGGACATGAGCATCAAAGATGAAGACGTGAATCTAACGCTGACGGTATTAGGCAGCCCCGTCTCCAGCAGCGTCAACCTGGGTGACGACATCAACGCTACTATAGAAATGACGGTCGCTGGTATGCTTAGTAAGTAAGACATCACCCCAAATGATGATATCACAGATCATGTTTTTATTGTTTTACGCCGAAGTCAGCATCGGCCCGGTTATATCACGGCAAACTGTTGAATAACCTTACTTGGAACTGACAACACGAACCAGTGTTTGGTATTAGCTGTAGGCCAGTGAGCACTCTATCCAATTTAGCCGCTAAATGTTGCCAGTTTAGTGTTTTGAGACCAGCAAGATGGTAAAAATGCGACCTATTCTATTGAAAGTAGGAAACACACGCTGATATCGATAGTGTTAGGGGGCCAGAATATATGACCTTAACACCAGAGAATAACCACATTCCGGTATCGGCCGAACAGATTCCATTGAGGCGAGTTAGTGGTGAAAATTGTATTGATGGATCACTGAAAATCTGTGATATTACAAGGTGTTTCAGGGCGGATCCAGGATGTTTTAGAGGTGGTGGGGGTGGGGTTTGGTGTTGGGATGGTGCACATAAATCATACTTTTGGGGGAAAATGCTCCTCAGGGAATATTTTTCACTCACTCACCTCAAACGATGATGTTCCAGAGTTTGAGGCCCTCCGTGTCGAAGGTTGTGTAGCCAGCAACACACTGACAGGCGGAGACTTGAAGTCGGTCAGATTCATCGCGGCCAGGTGAAGTCAATATACTCTTTGGACACACAACGTTAACACCGACATTACACAAATACCTCTGTACAGTCGAGGGGTGGTGGGGTAGCCAAGTGGTTAATTCGTTCGCTAGTCATGCCGAAGACCCGGGTTCGATTCCCAACATGGGTACAATGTGTGAAGCCAATGTTTGGTGTCCCCGGCGTGATATTGCTGTAATATTGCTAAAAGCGGCGTAAAACTAAACTCACTCACTGTATCTCCTCCAGCTGTCCATCCAGCGACGTCGACATCGTCATGATACAGAAGCCAAAGAAGGACTCTGATACCAAGGTGAGCTTCGTCTACGACGCTTTCAAGTTCACCAATCAGGACGCGGTGTCGGTGACGTGCACTGTCAAGATGTGCACAGAGGCGACCACGTGTGGAGCGGTAAGTCATCATCAGTTGTGAAGATCTGATGCTATTCCCAACTGTAACTTGTACCGCATGTTCCCGTGTTTTTTTCTGGTGAGTGAGTGAGTGAGTGTGTTGGGTTTTACGCCGCTTTATTCCAGCAATATCACGCCGGGGGACACCAAAAATGGGCTTCACACATTGTACCTTTATGGGGAATCGACCCGGGTTTTGGGCGTGACGAGCGAACGCTTTAACCACTAGGCCACCCCACCGCCCCTTTTTTTCTGGTGAAGGTGCGTGTGTTTGTGATTTGTGCCGCCGATGGGGATCGATGTGTTTACCATTTTGCGTTTATCTTTTTTTGATATGCCGGTTTTAGAAGATACCTATTATAGATATAGAAGGGGATTTGTCGTGTTTATTCGCCCAGAGGCACTGTTGAACATTTTCAGTGACGTCCCTCATCTCGGGTAACATATGTGATGTCGACAAACTGAGCATCACAATCATAATCAGGGCCTTGATCGTTTCGAAACGATCTTAGACTACACATTATCGTAAAATCCTAATAAAATAGTATACTGCGGCAGCCTATTTTGAGAAATGCCCTTAGACTAAAAGGCCACCTGTGTCCCTTACAACACAGCATGTTGTGTCCTTAGGCTAACAAACAACACCAGTTCCTTTACAACTCCTTAGACCAACAGACCACAACTGTCCCTGAAATACACAACACGCTGTGTCCTTAGACAGACTACACCAGTTCCTTTACAACACAACACGTTGTGTCCTTAGACAGGCCACATCAGTTCCTTTACAACACAACACGCTGTGTCCTTAGACCAACAGACCACGCCAGTTCCTTTACAGCACAACACGTTTTGTCCTTAGACCAACAGACCAAACCAGTTCCTTTACACCACAACACGTTGTGTCCTTAGACTTACAACACAACACGTTGTGTCCTTAGACCAACAGACCAAACCAGTTCCTTTACAACACAACACGTTGTGTCCTTAGATAAACGGACCACACCAGTTCCTTTACAACACAACACGTTGTGTCCTTAGAGTAAGGGGTCACCTGTGTCCCTTAGCTGCACGAAACATTGTATTTTTAGACTTCCCGCCCAGCTGTGTCTTTCCTCAGCACAACACGTCGTGCTACATTAAACTAACGATCCACAGTGTCCCTTTACTGCACAACAAAGTCCTATGAGTATAAAACAAAAAACCCTAAGAACATTTCATGTCCCGTCAACAGGTCCAGTGTGGTAGCGAGTCCCAGCCCTACACCGGTTACGGGAGGAAGAAGAGAGTGGTACAGTCAGGCATTTTCCTGGAGAAGACGGTCCGGACGACATACCGTGTACAGACGGTCGGCGTACAGCGCACCAACAGTACTCAAGGTACACTTTCAACTCATTGTAGAGAGTTTGGGATTCCACACTTTGTTAGGGGTAGTGACGTAGCCAAATGGTTGAAACGTTCGCTCATCCCGTTCGAAGTCCCGGGTTCGGGTCCCCACATGGATACAATGTGTGATATTGCCGGATTGTTGCTTAATGCGGCATAAAACAATATTCACTCCACACCCTGTAGAGTTAGTTCATTCAAACGTCTTCTTAATATACTGGACAAAATAAGTTAGGATATTGGTATATTTATGATTGATATTTTATCAGTGTGTCAATGAATAAATAGATCATTATTCATAATTTCAAAATTTACATATATCCCTAACTATTTTTGTCCAGTATATTTACTGTGAAGGTTAGAATTGGTCTTCAGCTTAACCAATGCTTAAGAGGGAACTAACAGGATCGGGATAATCAATATATCGATCATATTGTTCTGGTAAAATTTGGGGGTAAATGTACACTATCTTCTTGAAACGTTCAATTTACCACATATATCATCAATTCTGAAACACAAGTTTGTCTGTTCCATAGACCGACATATTCTCTTTCTTCAGAAGTTAGAAAGACCTGTGCCAATACCAATTCCTCAAATCCCCTTAAACTGTCCAAGAGATCGAATATCCAAATAATTATTGCAGTTGTTTCGTCACTTCACGACAAGACGGGTACATTTCATCAGTTAATACTGCCAGTGATCAGTCAATCACTGACGATCTTCAGTTTTGAAATGTGTTCATTTATGTTTTTTCAGTACAAGGCATCTTCGTTAGCAACAGAGGAAATGACGTCCCACTGAGCTTCAACATAGTTGGTTCGGCAATTGTTCTTGTGCTGTTTTTATGAAAAGTGGTTCAGTGTTCCCAAGTCATCAGAGGGTTGTGTACGAGAGACAGGGGGATACTTGGTCATGGTTCTTTTAAAATCATGGGACCTTGTCCAAAGAAGATCAATTTCCATACCCTTACCACCCCCGATTATCCAGGGTTCCATGCCTTTTATGACTCTTTTAATAGTCACCCGTGAAGATCCGGGTTAGAAGTGATCTTCAGTAACCCATGCTTGTCGTAAGAGGCGACTAACGGAATCGAGGTGGTCAGGCTCGCTGACATGTCATCGTATCCCAATTGCGTAGATCGATGTTCACGCTGTTGTTCACTGGATTATCGGATTATCTGGTCCAGACTCGATTATTTACAGACCGCCTCCATATAGCTTGACTTTTGCTGGGCGTAAGTCTAACTCTCTCACTCAACTTTAATAGTCTTGGGTTGAGAGTCACTGTTCACTTTAAGACTAACCTATTGTTTCTATGTCGTGAGGGAGGGGTACTGCAGCCCAGTACTGAAGCGTTCGCCAAAGTGCTCGGGTTCCATTCCATAGATGGGTACAACGTGTGAAGCCCATTTCTGGTGCCTCCCGCCGTGATATTGCTGGAATATTACCATCTGACCCACACAGTGTCTTGAAATTATGTCTGCTTCACAGGTAGTTTTAGCGACGTGTTACTTGGAACTAAAATCCATCTACTGAACCGTATAGACAGGTCGAGGACATGCATCACTAAACAATGGGAATGCACTGTAAAATCGAGGACCCGTCCTCACGTTAAACTCAAAATCATTCCACAAATGATATTTACACACAATAGAGAGCTCTTTATGGGTTTATTGCAATTTAATTCCAGAAACCGCTATCTACCTATTAGAGTAGATAAACTGACATTGTGCATTCTCTATACCGAGGAAAAATTAATGAATAAATATTGCTTCACGCAACATCAACAAGCTTCCATTCGAGTACCTGATGACATTCGTCACAACTCGTCACTTTCCATAACCTCCAAGAAGATCGGCTTGTCCCGGAATAACACGAGTTGATCACGAATGATCTGATGAAACACAACAGTGTACCGCATGTATGTAGACTATCACTTTGTCTCTGGAAGTATATTTTTAATAAATTATATATGCTCCATTTAAAATGAAAAGCAGATCCTGTGTGATGGGAGAGAAACCTGGGAAATCTAGATTTGCTTCAAGGGCTGAGCGGAAGGGAAAATAACATGGTGTAGGGACTATGAGGCACGCTTAAAGTATCAAGCTAACCACATTAGTATGGTGGCTGATTAGGGCCATCGCTTTCTCGCCTTAAAATTCGGAGGCGAGAAAGCGAGAAAGCGATATCACGAGACGAGAAAGCGATAACACGAGACGAGAAAGCGATAGCACGAGACGAGAAAGCGATAGCACGAGACGAGAAAGCGATAGCGCGAGACGAGAAAGCGATAACGCGAGACGAGAAAGCGATAACACGAGACGAGAAAGCGATAGCACGAGACGAGAAAGCGATACCATTACGCGAGAAAGCGATAAAGCGAGAAAGCGATAGAGCGAGAAAGCGAGAAAGCGAGAAAGCGATAGAGCGAGAAAGCGATAGAGCGAGAAAGCGATAGAGCGAGAAAGCGATATTACCCACAATTCATTGCTGTCTGCGCATGATCGACTGCAAACGGGAGCTCAGTCGCCATCGTAATTTCTGGATAGTATTAAATGGTTTTCAGTAATGTTCTTGCCCACGAATGGCGGTGTATGACTAGACTTTTAGAAAATATCTTATAGAGATGTAGACTTTCCTTTGACATGCAATTTGCACGTATGCAATAGTCATATCGTGAAATAACGGAAACGTTCATTTTGTGATGTGACTTAAGGAATTACATATTATTTGACATAACTGGATTCGAATTGTCTTAACCAACTTAATCACACCAACCAATTGAATTGTTTCTTTGATGGGCATTTTAGATTTTGAGTTGATGAAGAATAATGACAATTATATTGATATACAACTTCTTTTATTCTGTGGAGGCGACGTTTCGACATAGATTCTAATGTCGTTGTCAAGCAAGTGATACATGAGTAACAAATTGAGAGAATATATACATGAGTTAAGTTATTACGGTAGATAGGGATGAGTTGTTTATACATTAAAATGAGGTTGATGTACAACGCTTGTAGAAGAGATTGAGTAAGTTGATTGAATCCAGAAGGGTGATATACAAGGACTGAATTAGAATTTATAGGAGGCCAGGTGGATGTATATACAAAAAGATGGGTTTGATGTACATAGTTGAATTGAAACAGATAATGTACACAAGAAATATTATTGATTACTTTATCAAGTAATAATAGGCATTGGGAATGTACTATCCTTCATCTCTGTTGAGGGCGGATCATATCTTCTTGATGTGTACTGCTTCCAAAAGTTTCCGAATTTTCTAGTCTGACTGGTTCTTTTTTATGGTTTTCTTTGAATTATGATGTTGTGTGAGAAATGTGTCGGAAGTGCCAGATGAACGAGAGGGACCTATGACAAATAAGGCATTGTGACGAGTATATTTTCATGTCAATTTCCACCATGAGTGGCCACCACTAAGACAATCAACCACATCCAAACCATCATCCTAAAATAAAATCACCGAGTGAGTGTGTGAATTGAAATACATGTATATGTCGCCTAAGAGCAATATTCATGTTTTTAGGTTCATTGTTGATGGTTTTGTGGACGCCATATTGTACGCCATCAGTTCAATTCCAACTTAATGGAATGGTGAGTTACACTTACATTTCAAACAAATTGGAGCTTTGTTTCTTTTGCAGCTCAGTTTATTACATATACATCACATTCAGAGAGTTTTGAAGTATGTGACACTATAAATGAGCTGTATGTAGACAATTCAAAAATAATTATCAGTTCTCGCTGTTTGGTTATAGGTGGAGGAATTAGAAATGAGGCATGGGAACTTAACCGTTTATGTTTATGTCACTTTATTGTATTTCAGGGTGATCAAAATACAGCTGTAGTTTCTTTGAATTAATAAAAACGATGAAATTTATTAACTGAAGAACTTCACCTACATGAACCCAATTCGCTCCTACCCGAAGATAGAGAAGACGCACGTGACAGTAAAGCACCTTGGTACCTCAATGTAGTAACAGAACCATTCCACAGTCAATGGTGTAATCTAAGCAAATAAAAGGATGCAGTCAAACGTTCGTCTAATCAAAGCTGAAAATAGTACGCAGTTAAACGCTGGTCTAGCCATATATAGTGAACTTCTTTGGATGGCATTTAGAAGTTGCGTGTGCTAACAACGAGGAAAGTTATATGGATATACAACGCCTTTATTATAATGTAAGAGACATTTTGGTCCGCCAATTTCAAACCTGTTCTGCCATCAAAATATCTATCAAAACCCATCTTTTCCGCCATGTTTTCTTCTGGCAAAAGTTAGATTATAGACATGTTATACCAACAACTGGTTTTCTACAATATATTATTACCCTCCGCCGCCATTTTGACTGTATGTAATAATTGATGTGTGATATGTACCTTTATACCACCATTGGTGGTCTATTGAGAATAAAAAGTAAAGTAAAGGCTACAGCTTGATGGTCGCATAGGTTTGAAAAGCTGATTAGTGTATCCAGTTAATCTTTCGTGTAACATTTTCAGTTTCCAGAGGAGGACTTGAAACTCGTTCAATATATGGAACTATCTACCTGTATCATCTTGTTTTATAACCTGGTCAACTCATGTCAAAACGATTCAAATCAAATAGAGCAATAGGTGGCATTCACTGGGATGCAGACAAATAAACCTCCTACACATCTACAAAACATTTATCTTGTAATACAGGAGTGAGTCGCTCCGTCCTTCTCTATCCCCAACTAAACTCCTTACAATATATTAAAAAGCCACAGGTGCAAAGATCAGTACCTACTACCTATTACTTACTAGAAGAAACCAAATGACTCAATAACTACCAGACTGGTCAGAAAATAAAATATCAGAATATATACAGAATAAACCCTTTAAAACATCCCTATCAGCAGCTACACATTACAGTGTAAACTCGATTATCCAGACTAACTTCACAATGTCAAGGCACACGCACCACACGTTTCAAAACATAAACATAAACACCGTACCCTGGCTCCCAGCCCTACTTTTTAACATTTAACCTCAATTCATCTATTTAGTAGACTCCTTATGAGCTTATCAGCAACAGTTTAACTGTTCTGCACAATAAGTCACAATATACTTTACACCACTTACTTAGTTGAACTCGTATAACGCAATCAACTTCCCACCTTCTTAGCGTCCGTCTTCTTCAGCTCCCCATCTCCAAACTAACGCATTTTCAATATACAGGTGTTTATCATATAAGTGCTTTATTCTCAAGCAATAATTTTATTACGTTTTGGTTAAACACACCTACCACGTCGGTCGATGAATTGTGGCACTGTCTCAAGTCGATAGTTGGGAGTTCGGGGACGACAGACATATACATATGTACACAAGCCATTCTTGTAGAAGTATGAGAGGTTATGGCACATACATTTAGAACAATACCTTTTCCACATAATAGTAGATATATATATGTGTGAAATATGCAACATTAAACGACCAGATGAAAGGCACATGGTGCAAAATTCCACCACGGATACAATACAGCCCGACGGGAGTTGGTTTTGGTTGGTCTGTTGTTAACACCGCACTAGGCATTATATTACAGCTATATGTAGCGATCTGTAAATATTCGAGTATGGACCAGACAATACAGTGATCGTATTATGAGCAAAACGCCACGGAAAGTTGGGTTACGATGACATTGTCAACCAACCAAGTCAGCGAGCCTGGACCACCCGATTCCGTTAGTCACCTTTTACGACAAGCATGTGTTGCTGAAGACCAATCTAGCCCGGATCTTCACGGTAACATGGGGAGTAGGCAAATGTAGCTTAGCCCAGTGAAAAACAGAGCTCATAAAACAGGACTCATAAAATACCTAAAGGTATTAAGAGCAGTTATGGGCGTAAACTTCTGTGTTTGTATAACACGATGCAACGGGTACATTCTTATTCTCCATCGAGTGAATGAAAGCTGAAGACGTACAGTGATAAACAAACAGTGATAAGATAACAAGGGGAAGCCAGTACTTAATTAGCGCTAAATTGCAGGGTTGATGGACAAATGGAAGCCAGGATTGTTAATCCCGGCATGAATAATGAGATAACAATGGTGGCATTTAACAAGGAAATGACAATAAAGAAATGCAAGCCAGGAATTAATCCAGACCTCATTTCAACGAAAAAACACTCGGTTTCTGGTGTTATTGTTGGATTATTGTTTGGACAAGTCAAAGGATTAATTACAAAAATGCCACAGAATTCGAAAGCATGTTCATTTTGTTTCTATACGATTAAACCAAATGACAATAAAGCCTCCTGTTGGATTAAATCATACGCAGGTTAGACGTCATGTCCAGACAGGGCAGAATTATGTGAAATATCGCTTTCTCGCTCTATCGCTTTCTCGCTTCTCGCTATCTCGCTCTATCGCTTTCTCGCTCTATCGCTTTCTCGCTTTATCGCTTTCTCGCTCTATCGCTTTATCGCTTTATCGCTTTATCGCTTTATCGCTTTATCGCTTTATCGCTTTATCGCTTTATCGCTTTATCGCTCTATCGCTTTCTCGCTCTATCGCTTTCTCGCTCTATCGCTTTCTCGCTTTCTCGCTTTCTCGCTTTCTCGCTTTCTCGCTTTCTCGCTTTCTCGCTTTCTCGCTTTCTCGCTCTATCGCTTTCTCGCTCTATCGCTTTCTCGCTCGCTTTCTCGCTTTCTCGCTTTCTCGCTTTCTCGCTTTCTCGCTTTCTCGCTTTCTCGCTTTCTCGCTTAATCCAACAGGAGGCTTTATTGTCATTTGGTTTAATCGTATA